GAATGCCCTGAAGGGAGGTATGTCTCAGCCCCAAAGCTGTTATCTATAGAAGACTCAGCACTCCCTGTATGGGCTATCTCAATTACACCCTGCAAGGAAGGGTATTCTTCAGAAGCTCTATGGCTGGCAATCAGGCTGCATTGTCCTAAGATGTGACCACCAGGCCATGAACCCTCCAGTAGGCAGCATCTCTGGCAATTTTTGCTAAGTGTATTTTGTGTTTGTGTATATTTGTCTGCTCACCCCCAGGCTGCAATTATTGCTAGGACCTGCCTAGAGAGAGCAGTGTGCCTGTTAGCAGGAGGAGCACCAGCTGTTCATTGTAGTAAATGCACTGCCTTTAGGACAATACCCCCTAGAGTCTGGTTTTCAACCCCAGACAGACTGTTTCCAAAGCCCCAGCAACATGGAAGAGGGGATGGTGTGGGCTAGATGAGGAGGAGCTGTTACCTGTGGGGAGTTACTTTAGTTGTCTCATCCAGTTGGTTTGAAGTAGAATTCTACATCATTAGAATTGGTCTAGATTTTAGGGATCATCCAGTTCAACCTACTCATTTTACCAATGAGGGAATGGAGACCTATGGAGGTTCTAGGACTCATCTATGACCAGAGAGGTAAGGAATGGCAGTGTTGGGGCTAGACCCCCAGGTCTCTTCAGTTAGTAATTATGGTTCTTGCAGTGGGGACTGCAAGGGGTTAAATTGTACCAGGAATCTGGGATGGGGATCAGGAGCACATGTGGGCACTAGGTCAGTAAGTTATAGTTAGGACAGTGGTCCCTGGGCCATAGGCTAGAATGGGTGATCACAGAAGGGTCTCTGACTCAGGTTACCTGTTACTGCATTTTGGGGAGGATGTGATTATGTGGGGACATCTAGGCACATTAGCAAGTCTCATTTGCTGAGTGTGAGGTGGGGAAAGTGAAGATCCTTGAGGAGGTAGGTGGAGATACCTAGTTGAAGACTCTTAGGAGATTTGAAGTTACAGGCAGATGAATCTGCTGTAACTCTTGAGAGGTCAGGCCAGTAGTATCTACTGTGACATTTGGAGAACTGAGAAGTAGTGTAGGACTTAGTGGTTGCTAGGTGTGCTGTGGATAGTTGTTATATACCGTCGAATCAATTCTGACTCATAACGACTCTGTGTACAGCAGAATGAAACACTGTCCAGGCCTGTGCCATCCTTATAGACATTGCTATGTTTGAGCCCGTCGTTATAGCCACTGTGTTAATCTATCTTGTTGAGGGCTTTGCTCTTTTTCACTCACCCTCTACTTCCCAAAACCCTCTACTTCACTGGTCCCTCCTGATAACATGTCCAAAATACGTGACACATCTTGCCATCATCACTTCTAAGGAGCATTCTGGCTGTATTTCTTCCAAGACAGATTTGTTCTTTCTTATGGCAGTCCATGATATATTCAATATTCTTTGCCAACACCATAATTCAAAGGCATCAATTGTTCTCCAGTCTTCCTAATTCATTGTCCAGCTTTTGCATGCATATAAGGTTATTGAAAATACCATGGCTTGGGTCAGGCGCACTTTAATCCTCAAATGACGGCTTTGTTTCTTAACACTTTCAAGAGGTCTTTTGCAGCAGTTTTTCCCAGCACAATACGTTGCTTAATTTCTCGAGTGCTGCTTCCGTGGGTGTTGATTGTGGATCCAAGTAAAATGAAATCCTTAGCAACTTCAATCTTTTCTCCGTTTATCATGATGTTGCTTATTGGTCCAGTTGTGAGGATTTTTGTTGTCTTTATGGTGAGCTGTAATCCATACTAAAGGCTGTAGTCTTTGATCTTCCTCAGTAAGTGCTTCAAGTCCTCTTTGCTTTCAGCAAGCAAGTTTGTGTCATCTGCATATCGCAGGTTTTGATGAGTCTTCCTCCAATCCTGATGCCACCTTCTTCATTTAGTCCAGTTTCTAGAATTATTTACTCAGCATACAGATTGAATAGGTATGGTGAAAGGATACAACCCTGACGTACACTTTTCCTGATTTCAAACCACGCAGTGTCCCCTTGTTCTGTTCCAATGACTGCCTCTTGATCTATGTAAAGGTTCCGCATGAGAACAGTTAAGTGTTCTGGAATTCTCATTCTTCGCACTGCTATCCATAATTTGTTATGATCCACACAGTCAGATGCCCTTGCATAATCAATAAAACACAGGTAAACATCTTTCTGATACTCTCTGCTTTCATCCAAGAAACATCTGATATCAGTAATGATATCTTTGCTTCCATGTCCTCTTCTGAATCCAGCTTGAATTTCTGGTAGTTCCCTATGGATGTACTGCTGCAACTGTTTTTTGATTATCTTCAGCAAAATTTTACTTGCGTGTGATATTAATTATGTTGTTTGATAATTTCTGCTTTCTGTGGATATTCTGTGGCTAGTACAGGTCCTTTTATGGTTATAGCTCTCTGTACTTGGTTCCTTATTTCTCCTTAACCTTAACTGATTAATGCAACTCATTTTAAGCTATCACAATGACTCTAAACATTATGATTTTCATTCTTTCTGTTTAATTTTTTTATATGTTGAAATTAAATACAGAATATAAAAGGACAGACTTATTGTAAACCCAGAACTGAAATATTTGTTCAGCTGTAGGACTGGTTTTATTGGGAAGAATGAATCTAGTTTTTGAAATGATTTTTCTTTTTTTGCTTCTATTTATTGATCACCTACTTTACAGAGGCAGTATTTCATAGTGGTTAAGCACGAGGACTCTGGAGCTGGGCTTCTTCAGTGGAATTCTGCCTCTCTTGGTTATATTGTATGACCTTAGGTGAGTTATTTACCCTCCACGCCTCTGTTTCCTCATCTGTAAAATGAGGATAATACCCATGTTATCGTTGTTGTGAGGGTTAATAAATAATACATGTGTTAGAACAATTCCTAATACATAATAAATACTATTTACATATTAGCTGTTATTGTGCCCCAGACATTGTTCTAGGTCCTTTGTATATAATGTTACTTCACATCTGAGCAAACTGAGGCTTAAAAAACTTAAGATCGTCTAGCTAGTAAGTGGCTAACGTGGGACTTGAACCTTATCTGTCTGATTCAAAGCCTTGCTCTTAACCACTCTACTCAACTTCTGAGGTGTTATAAATCACTTTACTGTAGGTGGTAGATTTTCTGTCTTTTCTGCCTATGTATCTGTGGCACAATGGTTAAGCGCTTGGCTGCTAACTGATAGGTTGGAGGTTCGAACCCATCCAGCTGTTCCAGGGGAGAAAAGACCTGATGATCTGCTTCCATAAAGATTACAGCCTAGGAAACCCTATGGGGCAGTTCTACTCTGTCATATAGGGACTATTAGTCGAAATCGACTCAATGGCACACAGTAACAACCTATTGATCTATCACATACTCCCTAATTTAGATTTTTCATTGTATTTGCCTTCTGTTATTAAAATGCATTTCCTTAACATCTGTGACTTAAACAAGAATTAAAAAAATATAAAGAAAGGTAAAAATAACTGCTTTTAAAATAATGCTACTCACATAATTAGGTAAGAACTTTAAAAAACCATGCTGTGTTAAATTGTGAAAGGCATAAAACGTCCACACACTTGCAAGTTCTGTAGATGTTAAGAGATTTGTTATTATTAGGCACTTTTAGCTTACTGTTTTAAAACAATAATGGCATTAATGTTTTAAGCATTTGCACACCTTAATTACTAGGAAGAAACTATATCAGATTTTTGTAGCTTATGGAAATCTTCCCTGTCTGTACCCTAGAATAAAGAGAATCAAGGCCGGAGAAGTGAGATGGGGCGTCTTGGCAATGGTGACAGGTGAAGCTGATGAGAATTAACAGCTTTTGACTGTTAGTTCTTAGCAGAATGGTGGTGTAATGGGATCTGCTTATAGTAATGAAGCATTGACTGTGTGAGCCAGTGAAGTAATGCTCTCCCATTTATTTCATAATATTATTGGGAGATCTGTTAAATGATTCTACTAAGCCCAGAATTTGAAGCTTTCTGTACTATACATAGTTTTGATATTGTGTTGAAAATTAGAAATCATGTCTTTTATAGCATTGTCAACTTTGTAATTATTTTATGGAGAATCTTACTCAGTAGAAAGGAAAATAACAAGACAAAAACAAAACACCTCACTACTCCATCAAAATCACTCTTAACAACCAATTATCTTATCTTTCTCAAAGTAGCTATAATATTTTAAATAAATCTAAATTGGAAATTGTCCAAGCATTCAGATTGCTTGAAAAAAAAAAAAAAAGAAAATTGATTAAAATCTCAAATATTTAATTATTTACTTACTTACCTACTTATTTATATTTTGTCTCTGGGCAAGGTGAAGAGTTGTTTTATCAGTAGAAAGTAGCCATTGTTAAAATTTATTTGAAGTGTAGCTGGGGCATACTCAAGATGAAAAGCAATTGGCAATGAAGGAAAAGATGGCTCAGGGGACATGGTAATGTGACATTGAAGATTACATCAGGTAGCGTCTGTCTCAGTAATGACCATATGTCCTTTCCATCTGATGTCTGTTTCGGGGCTTGGATAAATGAGTTGAAGGTCTTAGATACGCTTTAAAGGATTGTTCTTTTACTACCTTTATTAGATTTGTTTTCAAATTAATCAAATGTTTTAAGTGGCTCAGATGTGCCTACTATCAAATGAGTGAGCATAATAACAAAATTGCATTCTTCGTAACAGTTTGGATGCTGACTCCTTTCAGATTCTGTAGCTTTGTGACATTGAGTGCTAGAATGAAACGTGGACTTCTTGTGTTCTTTTCATATAGAGAAATAAGAGAATTTTATTTCTTAGTTCTAACCTAATAATTAGTACAGGAATAAAATGGGAAGAAGTAATTTTTAAAGAAAATTTTTATTTTCTAGTAACCGTTCTTTTCTAAGAGAGACTTTTCTAAGGCCAACAAAAAAAACAAAAAAAAAAAACAAACAAAACCAAAACCAGGGAAAAAAGAGCAGAGTCACGGCCGTTGGGGCTTGAGTCAAGAGATAAGCAGAAGTGTGTGTGTATTAATGTCACATGGCAGGAGGCTTTCCCCCAGAGCAGTTTGCCTGTCCAGGGACCTGTTTCATTTTGTGTCTGAATTGAGTTGTACTTTGGAAAATGCCGAGTTTCCTGCCTACTGCTTCATGATGGATTATACAGGTAAAATTAAATTTAAAATATTGCCCAGCCATATAGTTGCTTATAATATTTTGACTTGATATTTTAAAAATTATGTTGGTTGTACTTTTTAAAATATTATGCACTAGTTTATTCCAGGGTATGTATGAATTGGTTGTGTGCACATTGCGATTAATTTAGGATAAGCACTTAAAGGAATTTCTCAGACATACCTGTGCAGATCTTCTTCTGTTTCAGTTTGGGTCAGCCTTGCTCAGACTTAAACTACAACCCATAATTAATCCACGTTTCTCCCCTCTGGGCCAAAAAGTTTAAAGTACAAATGTCAGAGTTCAGGTTATGCCACACAGAGAATAAAATATGCACACTTTTTTCAACACCTTTGAACACTTCCGGTGTTGTGGTGGTGGTTGTGTGTGCGTGTCCATATGTTTCAGATGGAGTAGACACAATGAAGTGAATTGGAGAATTTCAGTTTTTATACTAAATTTTCTTAGTATAAACGTGTCCAGATCTTTCTGATGGATAACTAGCTTCTTCCTTTTAGATTGCATAGCCTTGGTCTCCATGTCTAGTTTCAGTAAATGGTAAATAGGTACAGGTCTAGAAATAAAGTGAAGAAACCATAAGCGGCAGTTTCTTGGTGAGTAAGTGGTGGATTCTCTTAGATCTAGTGGTGTGAAGGCAGGGGTGGGAGGGGAAGTGGTGATGAGGAGGTAAGAGCAGTGAGTTTTTTGCCCAAACTTGTGCAACCAATTCAGAATTATATTACCCTAAATTTGAACTTTTGGGTACTATTGACACGGTTTTCTGATGGATTGCTTTTAAGCTAAAGAACAAAGGCTTTTGGAAGATTACCCCACCCACTGTAGAGACTTACCTTCTCTATCCAGTGTAATGAGAAAATCCTAGCGTGCATTCAGATGAAGTTCTACTTACATATTCTCTGTAAATGATCCCTTTATGGACCTTTGGCAAGACAGCTAATTATGGTGTACAAGTCAAATTTTTGTAAATCGATAATTTGAAATGCAGTTTTTAGGAGCTTGCTATTTAAAGGACTTCTGTGGTGAATATCTTTTTTTAAAGATGAAACATTTTAAAGCAGTTAATTGCCCCAAAATTGTTTGCTTTATAAATTCACATCTTCCTATTTAGCGTTCCTTTAAAGCAAGTATACCTGTATTTGAGTGTGCATGTGTGTATATGTGTGCATTGATTTTCTTTTCGTTATAGGAGTATTTACGAGAACTTTTGTTTCAGGGCTCTGAAATAAAGTGTACCTACCTTTTAGAAGGCTCACTATATGATTAGTACTGTGATGAAACAGAAAGGAACACTTTATAACCATAAGCAAAGAAATCAAAGTTTTACAATCCTATTAGGGTACTTTACTATGAGTATGCTTTTAATCATACATTGGTACCTTCTTTATTTTTTGAAGAACAGAATCACTGCTTAATTCTTTCATTTTCTGTAGTTTGTATATTGCCATTAAAATATTTTTCTGTTGTTTTAAAATAATACTTAATATATATATAGTTGATATTTTAAACAACATACTACTTTAACATGCTTAGAGATTCCCTGGGTGGCCAAACGACTAATCGCTCCTCTACTAGCTGAAAGGTTGGTGGTTCAAATCCACCCAGAGGTACCTCGTGAGACAGCCTTGGTGATCTGCTTCTGAAAGGTCCCAGCCTTGAAAATCCTATGGAGCAGCTCTCCTCTGCACACCATGAGTCAGAATCAACTCCACAGCAACTAACAACAACATGCTAAGTAGACGTCAAGAGGAATACTAATAAAGACTTTGATGTGAACAAACGAGATGGCTACGAAGAAATTCACAGTATGACACTTCTAAAATTAATCCTCGTGTATCGTCTAGAGAGAATATGTGGTTTAAGTTCTTACCACATTAATAAGTACATTAATTAAATTAGCTGTCTGATGTGGTTGGAAGCCATTCTGAATGCTGTCTCCCATAGCAATTTTTATCAACATTTACACATCTGCAGATATAACTCAATTTAGTTGATTAAACTTTGAAGAAAGAACTTATGCTTTCAGTTCATGGGGAATGAATTCTTTTGCACTAGAAAAGAGAATTTGTTACTAGCATAATACAGCATAACCACTTTTGTACTAATGGCATTATCATATTACTGAAGGGGATATCTTCCAATAGAAATTGATATTTGAGGATACAAGAATAGATCTATTGTGATTTTTTTTTTCTTTTAGGGGCTAAAAACGCTCCTGTTCAATGCTTTTGCATTTTCTATTCCCTCTGCTTGGAATACTCTTTCAATTATCCATGTGGTTTCACATCACTTTTTTTAAGTTTCTGTTGAAATGTCACCTTTTCAGAATGGCCCTACTTGACAATTTTACCTCTAAAATAACCCTCCCATTCAGTCATCCTTAAGGAGCCCTGATGGCACAGTAGTGAAGCTCTCAGAGGCTGCTAACTGAAAGGTCGGCGATTCAAACCCACCAGCTGCTCCACGGGAGAAATATGTGGCAGTCTGCTTTCATAAGGATTTACAGCCTTGGAAACCCTATGGGGCAGTTCTACTCTGTCCTATGGTGTTGCTATGAATCGAAATTCACTCGATGGCAGTGGGTTTGGGTATTTGGGTTTCAATCATACTTATTCCCTAATTCCTCTTTATCTTTCTTTGTAACATACCACTACTTGACCTACTACATGTTTGTCTTTTCACCCACTAGAATAAAAACCAGTTAATTCTAAATCATGGTGACCCCATGTATGTCAAGGTAGAACTGACCGTGCTCCATAGGGTTTTCAGTGGCTGATTTTTCGGAAGTAGATTGTCATGCCTTTCTTCCAAGGGTATCTGGTTGGACTCTAACCTCCAACCTTTTGATTAGCAGCCAAGCGCTTAACTGTTTCTACCACGTAGAGCCTCCATAAGCTCCATAAGGAAGGGAGTTTGCTCCTGGCAGTACCCCTCGAGTGCAGAACAGTAGGCTCCCAGGAAATAGTTGCTGAGTGCATGAATGAGGGGTTGCTCAGAAGTAACTATTGACTTACTTTAACAGCTTCACTATTGTCTTTTTTTCAATAGCATTTTAACTTAATAATTACTTTGGCCATGGAATTATTTTGATTAGTAATCATTTCTTTCATTGCTAATTTTATCCTGAAATCAACAGTACTCTCAAAATGAAAGGACAAGGTCACAGGCAGAGATAATCAGAGAGAATGGATAATCCTAAAATCATTTTGGCTTTGGAATGTATTATGTGATTTTTTTGGGAGATGGGGTCATCATATTAGATTTATTTTTCCTTTATTACATTTTTCTTAAGCAATACATGAAAATATGTCTTCATTCTGTGAGCTCAAGCCAGCTGACTAGAAGAGAGAATTGGAACAATCTAAACGTTTGGAATAGTTTTCGTCAAAATGGGTCTTCAGCTATACAGATCCAAACTTCTAAGGTATTTAGAAACACATCAGGCCTCCAGAGGTTACACAAACCTTAGCAGGAGTCAGAGGGTGTCATTTTTGTCCAGTTTTGCTGGCAATTAAGATGCGTGATTTTTTAACATAATCATCCTGTTACAGTGTTCTAAAAAGTAGACTTCTTGAAAAATATTGCAACCTTGATCTTACTCTTAGAAGTCTGTGCCAAGAAATAAACATAGGCTTCAGAAAAAGGCATTTACATATGCATATATACACCCACACATATGAGCTGAAAAAAGGAGCTACGTAAAATGAGTCAGCTAAGTAGTTATTGCATATAAACCATGGCTTCCATTTGAAAATATCTGTTGCCCAGGGAGCATTTTTCTCATTCTGATTTTCCTCTTGTCTTTCTGATGGCCACATCCATCCACCATTTGGGTGTCTATTCATATGCAACATCTGGTACATAATTTAAAATAGATCTTGTAGAAGATCAAATTGTCCATTCCCAATTGCTACAGTTATATCTTGACACCATTATTGATTTTCATCCCCTGGTTGTTGACCTGACAGTGTTTTTTGAGGGATGGGTTTTTCCTTCCTAATTCCTGTAATTTTTGGTATAGTCTTTTCTGTCATTTTTAGTTTTCTCTGGTGCTTTCTTTATCTCTTTGTAATAAAGAAAACTTTTCTCCACATTTTCAATTGATTTTTTCACTCCATTTTAGTTGAATTCATAAAATGTTTCTCTGTCAATTATTCTTTTTTTCAAGAGGCATTATAGTAGGGTGTTAAGAGCATATGCTTTGGGACCAGACCACCTGGTTTGAATCCTGGCTTATTTGCTACCTGTGTGACCTTGGCAAATTATTTAACTGTCAAGTGGGGATAATAATGGTGTCTACTTTGTATGCTTGTTATAAGGATTAAATGAGTTAATACACATAAAGTTCCCCAAAAGTACCTGTCACATACTAAACACTAGATAGATACTAGCTCTTGTCCTTCTGGGAGTCCCTGGGTGATGCAAACAGTTAAGTGCTCCGATGCTAACTGAAAGGTGGGCAGTTTGAGTCCACCCAGAGGCACCTAGGAAGAAAGGCCTGGCTATCTACTTTCAAAAAATCAGCCATTGAAAACCCTATGCAGCACAGTTCTACTCTGACACACATGGGGTCACCATGAGTTGGAATTGACGGCAACTGGTTTTGTTTTTTTTCTAATTGTTATTTTAGCCTATAACAAAATATTTGTTCTTTATCTTGTTCAGCATCATTATACTTTCTTTGCAATGGTTCAGCATTTTCAGTAAGCTAAAGATCAGGTTACCTTGAATAAATTATGATACATGCAGGGGGAATATTTTGCAGTCATTAAACGAAAGTGACCTATATACAGTGCAGAAAAGCTACTAATGATATTTTTAGATGGTAATTTGAAGTTCCACATTCATATCAGAATTTAATTTTTATAAACTGTGAATCTATATATAGACATGCCTTTGTAAGCATAAGAAAATATTATGAAGGGTAGATAGCTTAGATGAATGGGTGGAGAGGAGACTTGAATGTCTTACTTT